CCCGCCAGCCCGGCCGCCCCTCTGCAGGCCGGGAGCGGGGGGTGGAGGGCGAGGGGTGACCCCCGCGTGCTTCCGCCGCTTCCCCAGCTCCCGTGGCCTCCCCGCCCCGTCTGCCGCGGCTCCTCCGCGCTGCTTGGCTGGGCTGGTGGCGCGGCTAGGGGATAAACCTGCGCTCTGACATGTCCCGGTGACTTTCCATTTGCCTGGAGTGCTACGTGTTGTGTTTGTGTTGGTGGGATGATAGAGGCGCGGGCTATGTTATCTTAGCCTTGTTACTACCGCTTCTTATCTGCATGAAAAGAAACCTGGTGGAGGGTTAAGATTTCTCTTTGTAGCTTCGGGGTTTGAATCTTGAATTTTGCTTTGAAAGGGGTGTCAAGGTTCCCAGTAGCTGTGCTGACCAAGCAATTTTTTTCTTATCACTGTTTCAGCCACAAGATGAAATAGAAGTTGAAGATGGGTTTAAACAGTATGATGGTAAGGCTCTGCTACAGTGTTGGAAAGTGTAACTCAAGAACTTGAATTATTTTGATCCTTCCTGTGCACTTCTTTGTACTGACTCTATTACTAGATGATACTTAATTACTGCTTAATGATAGCCGTCTGTTTTGTCTTAGTGATTAGTGCATTAGATATGGAAGCTATGATGAGTACCATAAACGCTTGGATAAAAAACCCAGTCAAGTTTGAACGTTCCCATGGGATCAACAACACACTGGATGCCCAAATCTTACAAGATAAGGAGGGAGGAGATGAAACAATCCACATTCTTATTGTTGAAGGCTTCCTACTTTACACCTACAGGTAATCAAGTGTGACTTACATCTGATTTTTACATGAGTTTACATGACTGGCAAACATCTAAGGGACTAAAAAGACCTGTTCTAAACCAGGAGTTAGCAGCTAGTATTGACTGCTGGTGAGCTTACGTGTCCTAAGTCTGAAGATAGCTCTAGATACAGGAAAAGGATATTTTACCTTTCCATTTCTTGCTACTAATCAGTCTAGCTGTAACCAAACATATCTCTTTCAGGCCACTGATTGATGTATTCCACCATCGATATTTTCTTTCCATTCCATATGAAGAGTGCAAAAGGAGAAGGAGGCAAGTCCATCTTTCCAAGTTCCCTTGCTAGCCCAATAACATCTTACTCCGTTCAAGATGCTGTTTGTCTAAAGTTTATAGATAAGAAAGGATAAACATTAATATTGCTGTTGTGTTAGAAGGCTGTAGCTTCCTTGGCCAAACCAACCCAAAAGCTTCCTACTGAAACTGGTGTATGTGATAATCTCAGTTTCAGCACAGATCTTTCAACAGGCTTTCTCCCCTTCTTGTTTTACAGTGATATGGTTCCCAGGGTTGGGAAACCCTGAGGTTTTAGATTTGGCTGTGTTGTTGTGCATATACACTGTTTTTAATACAAATGAAACATTTTAAGTTATGTTTCAGAGGGAGAAGCAGACAGCTATTTTACCCAAGTTCTGCTGAAGCTCCAAGATAAGGCTGTTCATTAGTGTTAAAATCAGTCTGTTGTGGGAATTCTTTTTGCATCTTGGGCACTTCAGACCTGAACATCAAATTCAAACTTTTTTTGGGGGTATCTTCATGCTTGTAGCTTATACTAAATACTGACTTCTGATAAGCCCAGAAACTGCACTGGAGGCAACAGGCTTAGGCTAGCGTGTAGAAAAATGGCATGAATTATTTTTCATTTTCCTAAACTGTCATTAGCCTACTCTTGAATAACAATGTCTTAATTTATAGTTCAAGAAATTACACTGTACCAGATCCACCTGGATTGTTTGATGGCCACGTTTGGCCTATGTATGTAAAGCACAGGAAGATAATGGAAGATCTTGGAGTTGATGTGGGTAAGTCTTTAATGACAAGAGCACTGAAAGGTTTTTTTGAGTGCTTTTCAAACCTGGGATATAAGTACTGGTTAAGTGCACGAGAGGAGTGGCAGCAGGTGGATGGAGTATATTTCTTTGATACCAGTCATCTGCATGCTGTTTAGATTAGGATCTGTCACGATTACAGAAACATTGTTATAGCTTCTATTTTACTTTCTTAAAGTGCACTTGAATGGAACGAAATCAAAGGAGGAGCTGTTTAATGATGTGTATGGACAGATCCAGAATAAGATTGAAGAACTACTTAACATGCAGGTACATGTTCATACTTAGAGCCATTAAAAGGGTTCCCATGTTGAAAAAGCATGAAACTGTAACCTGAAATGTGTTCATGTGTATCTTTCTGTTTAGAAATAAGCTGCTGCTGTTGATTCTTGTGACTGAAGACAATTCCTGTTTGTTCCCTGCTGTCTGCCTGACTGCCACTAAAGTTCCAGCTTCTGTGAAGACTCTCAACTCTTAAATTTGACTTTGTTCATATGGTCATAATTAAAAAGCACTTCCCCCTTGTCTGTCATCTTAATTTGTGCTTCAGGCTAGTATGTGGCCGTAGATGATCTCAGTCTTCTCCCAGTCTCTAGTCTATTGGGAATTCTTTTCACAGTGCTCTTAACCTGTGAACATAAACTATGATAGCAGAACTGATGTGAAGTGGCACAACTCTCCCGCGAGGGTGTGCATGTGTGTATATATATACACACATACATACTGCTTCAAATTCTTTCACTGACCCATCACTTTCTATAGTCCATCTAATTAGGCAGCAAGATGCTTCTTGATGAAGAAATTAGAATTGATTTTGCTCTTCAAAAAGGAGAGAACAACAGGGGCTTTTCAGGCTATTTTACTAGCATGGCATTGTGTTAAATCCAGTGCACACTGATCTCAGATGTAGATAATTCAATTTACACTGATTTCACAGGCAGATAACTCAGTCAGGGAGAAAATTTTACATATACAACAGCTTGAAAACTGATTTCAAGCCTGCAGTAGTGTTTTGTAGCTTAATGCAAATTCAAGCTCCTGTGTATTGACATAAGTAGTTTAAGGCATTAGTTTACATAAAGCAGTGAAAGAGCCTACAAAGGCTTAATTCCTAGTAGAAGGAAAAGTGAATTTAGGACAAAAGCTTGATTTTACAAAATAATGGATAGATCTACTCTGCATCCAGTCCTTTCTCTTCAAAAAGGCTTGTCCAACACCAAGAAGCAGCAGTTACTTCAAGCCCAGATGCATTAGCTTCCTGACAGGAGCTGGTCCTCCCCAGTATCCCCTAGAAACAGAAAGATTTCTCATCAAGTTTTCTATATGTACTATCAAAGTAGGGGGTGAGGAATGATTTTGTTTTACTCCCATAAAGGATGAGTGTTAAGGGATTTGTTTTGGAGAAAAACATCTTTGCTTCAGGGAGGTTTCCCTTCTGTACAGTTCAACAAGCCCCTGTTCATAGCAAAGTTCCCCAAATCCTCTGAAAGTCAAGGTCTTAGTTGTGACTAAGGATGCAGTTCATTTGCTTCTATTTTAAGGAAGTAAGCCAGAACTGTGAGCTGTACCTGGCTTTCTTCTGAATGGTCACAGCAGCTCTGCCTGCTCAGAACTGAAATACTTACTTAAGTAGTGCATTCCAATAGAGAAAAGGCATCATATCAGCTTTCATATGGTACATGGTTACTCTCTCCTTGCTCTGGTCAATGGGAAAAGTCTCCAAAGGCTGAGCATCATAGTCAAATTCTGCTAGAATCACCTTGTTGTAGCCCGTTACAAGTGGGCAGGAAGTATATCCATCGTACTGCAATGAAAAATAGCCCCTTTCATTAATCCAAGTAAAGCCAGAATGCTGAGGTATTACAAGCCATACGCTTAACATTTGTATTTCAAAACAAATTGCTATAAGGTTTCTGCTTTTACAGTGCTTATACCAGCAAGTTTAGAATTCTGCTAAGCCAATATTGGTTTAATAACTAATACTAAGCCATTTTATTTCAAACGGATTGTAGACTTGCCTAACAACATTGTTTAAGTTAGAACTAACCGAGAACAAGAGGGCTTTGTGTCATTAATTGCTGGTTATTATTGTAACCAGCAGAATAGGTGATCAGTAGATCAGGATGAGAGCTGGTGTGGGCTTAAAGAGACAGTCTATAAACAATAGAATCTAGTTGCAAGAATTTCCAGATTGCAGGATGATGATATTCAGGTTAGTACCCCAAAGGATATTAATTCTGAAGCCATATGTAAAATGAAAGCCAAATCTCAAAGAGAAATTTGAACATAGTTATAAGCTTAACATCTGCAGTGCAAAACCTTCCAGTTTAACTCCTTAAAAGATCATGTTCTGTACAGGGGAAGCAATTTTAACGTTGTGCAAGGGTTTTCCTGGAGTAAGGATTATACTAGGCAACAGTTAAAGTCACTTGCACTGGTGAAGAACCCAAACTAATCAGCCTTTAAAATCCTTTCAACTCAAAAGCCAGAGAATTGAATACATACTATTTTTAACCACAGTGTCAAGAAGAAAAATTGTGCAACTAAACGGCTAGATGACATAGAATAATATTTTGCCATTTAGCACCCCAACTGTTGATGCAAAGCCCTTCCTGCCTTCCGGTTCACACAGTTTAGCTGCTTGCAAGACTTCCTGCATAAGAATAGAGAAAACATTCAGGATTACTTCTCCCCAGGACAAGATCTGTAGGTACCTTTTTAGTTGGCAGCTGGTTCTTCATTACCAGGGAAATAGTTTTATCAAGTACTCCAGACTGGGCAGCTATATAAAAAAGAAAGAAAAAAAAAAGGTGTATTAAGGCTTTGTTTAAGGCAGCAATGATTGTCATTACAAGAGCAAACACTAGTAGCCAGGCATTTTGTCAGACAATTCAGCAGTAATTGAACTTGCATGGCAAATCAGTTTGGGAAGTTTACAGTTCCAGGCAATAAAAAAAAAAAAAAAAGATAAATAATGCTTTGCCCTCACTGTTTCCAACATGCTAAAGCTTAATGCAACTTGAGCTGTACATTTTTAGCCTCTGCCCATTCTCCTAAGCCACATTATATCTGTTCAGTCTTCCCAAACACTAAGATTCCGACACAGTGAAGTTTTGTTTCAAGCGCTGTAAGGAAAGTGTTTGCTGGAGCAGCTGACTATACTGTTCTCCAAGTTACACCAGTAACATATTGTATAGCCTTTTTCCCCACACCAGTAACATGTTGTACAGCCTTTCTTTTTTCCACCCTCTTATTTGCCTTTTTTTCAGTTGTGAAACCATACACCTGAAGTGTTTTTATACTGGACCCTGTAGCTACAAGTACAGAAGATGTGGTTCTTCAACAGTGACTTATCAGTTAGCTGACACATATGCATGAGCCACTAAGATAGAGCAGAAAGTTTTGTTACTGAACAGTGACGGAATGCAAGAGCAGCACGCTCATTTTAGTCATTCTGTGAGCACAGAAAATAGAATTAGTTCATCTGTGAGGCATCTGGAACAAGAGAATTGTGGGTTAATGGCATCAGCATGGTCTGTAATTAATTAGCCTAGGAGACTGGGGTCTTTCTGAAAGCTGGAAATAGTTGAAGTCAAGACCTCAGGAGTAACTAAATAGAAAGCTTACTGTCGCTCCCACACTTTTCATTACACACACGCACACAACTTTACCTACAGCTGCAGCAGTTTTTGATGTTGGAAGGTTGGTGCAGTCTCCAATACCAAATACATTAGGATACTTTTTGTGTTGTAGAGTTTCCTTATCTACATCCACCCAGCCAATTGCATCCGAGACGGGACTGTTGATGAGTACGTCAGGTGGCCCCATTGGGGGTGTGACATGAAGCATTTCATACTAGACAAAGAAAAGGCACTCAGTGGCTACTTTATCAGAGAAAATCATACCTGTGGTGATAGAAGGCAATCAGTGGAGAGGGGTTTTCTTGGTTGGTTGGTTTTTCAAAAATACAAGTATATAAAATGAAAATTTGCTCTCAAATTTGAAGTGCATCCTTTTACTAACATGAACCTTACCAGGCAACTCCATTTAGACTGGCATAACAGCCATTTGCTTTCTGCCATACACATCTGAGACATTTCCAAGCTATACTAACAAGGCATGCAGGACTCCAGCTATGGTTTATGAAATATTTTTTTCTTCTCCCCACCTTAGTTTCACTTTTTAATCTTCTGCTAAAGTTAGAGATGGTACTCTCAGGAGGAAAGGGCAGTATACAACAAAGCAGACATTGTGTTATTATAGCGTGGCAGTTATATTACAATATACAAGGAAAAGAAGCAAGACCAAACTACAGGTCTGAAAGCTGACCTGATGAACTTCAGTCACTCCAGGTTTGTCCAAGTTTTCAAACACAGCTTCCTGCTTGTCAGCTCGAACTTCTACAAGGTTGTGTTTATAGTTAACAGTGATATTCCTCTCCTTTATTATTTCAAGCAATGCATCAGCATACTTCTTAACCCCAAAAATGACACCAAGTGAAGTGTTGAACATTATGTTTGCTTTGGAACGTCTTCCTGTCTGGACAGAGAGATCACATTAGCCTTTCCTATTAAACAACTGTGGCAGGCTAGCTGAGACAAAAGCACTATGCTGCACTACTGAAAAGCTGCTAGAGCTATTAATGCAGTTCAATTGCTATGAAGTATTAACATTACAATTCCCAAGGCACAGCTATTTTACACCATCTTAGAAGCTAGACAAGATAATCTTTGCCCTTTCTGAGCGAGGTACTGAAGACACCCCCCACAAATTGCTAGTTGGGAAGAGGTGGCTGCACTCCACTGAGGAACTGCTGTATGCAGGTTAAGCACCCGTAGCAGCTCAGCATCACAGAGCTTTCTGAAACCTTCACGTCTATGCATTATTCAGATACTCGCCCAGTGGATAGCTCATGAAACTTAAAACACATATGAAGCCTGACACTTCCACTTGAAGTTGTCTTTTGTTTATGCCAAGCTTGCTTTATCAGCCTGGCTAAGATTCCTCCTCATGCTGAGACAGCGTGCCACAAGGAGGAAGCATAACCACTTTTCAGACTAGCAGAAAGACAACAGGTATTAAGTAGCCGAAGTAACAAGAATTACTTAACTCCAGCCAGCATTATTTCAGTGCACCACCTGCAGTTATAAATTAGGCTGAGAACAGTTGTATCTGTAGCTCACCAGAAGCAGGATAAGCAGTTCTTTCCTTACGGTTCCTGAATTCTGCAAGTTTCTCCAGTATTAAATATATGCTAAATATTTATGTACAATTCAGTTCGCTTCATTTATTATACAATGATAAATTAAAGTGGCTGCATTGCTTTCTCTATTAATAATCCTGAGTCACATTGCTCTCGTGTAGTTTTTATTTGTTTTAAAGATAATACGAACCCCTTAGAACAAGCCTGGCTTCCAACTGTGGGAACAAGCACTGACAGAGAGAATAAAATACTTACTTTCCTCCAGTAGGCTTCTGATAAATACATGATCTTCTGAGGAGCCCCTGCACACTTGACTGGAGTATTTGGAAAAGTGAAGATAGCATTTCCTTCCTTGAAATCTTGTAAGGCTTTCCATGTTTTCTCTACCGTAAGAACTGAATAATTGGAACCTATTTTAGGGTGATGAAAACCCTCAGGCAAGCCTTTGATCTAAGAAAATGAAATTAAGGTTTAAAGTACAGACGGCAAAAATTTTGTCATCATCATCAAGTATTAAATGCAGACTTGAAAAAATAGGTATTTAAGAAGCCTCTAGCAAAAAAGAAATCCCATACATACTTGCTAGTTGACATTTTTGAAAATAAGCCTCACAATGAAACAGGTATTTCCATTAGAATTTAGTAGACAATTCAACATTTACTGAAATTACTCTGGTCTGCAACATCTGTAGCATAAGTGTTCAGTGCAGACTCAGACCCAGGTTTTTGTAGACTGGTGCATGAAATTCAGAGCAAGAATACATAAACTCACCACCACATCATTGTAAGTAAAAATCATGAAAAAAAAAAAAGCATTATAAAAATTTATAAACTGAACGAAACTTTTCAGTAGTCAGTTGCAGATACCTGCCTTTCCTAGGGTTATTTTGTTTTAACTCAACCATCTCCGGTAGTTATTTCCCTACTATGCCTGAGCATCTGCTTGCGAGAAAGGGAGTTGTCCACATTTCAAACTAATGGTTTGCAGAAATTCTGTGAGAATATGGAGTCGTGTTCCATGCACTGCATGTGTTTGGGATGTTACAGTCTACACCAGAAAGCATGCTGTTGGTGAAGACAAATAAGAGAAGTCAGCCCTCCTTTTAAACTTTTGTTCTAAAGCCATATACATCTGTTATTATGAATTTTATTCACCTCAGAGTGATAGTGATGAGCTCTATTACATGGCTTCTACTACTGAATTTAGTTTCATCAGGTTGTACTGAAGAGATATATATGAAGACTTAGAGGGTCACTGAACACTCTCCTCATTCCACTGATCTAAGCACCAGAATTTATCTGGTGTGACTATAGTTAACTAAGACTAGTTATTGCTTTACAGATGCCTTGGGAGCTTTTCAAAGAGATACTCAAATATATTATCAGATACTATATCATACTTAGGTTAAAACCACAAGACTCAGTCAATCAAACATGTTGCCTTTGTGTTTTCCTCCTCCATATTGCTATGATCATTCTTGTGCCACACAAGAGTATTAACATTTTCCTCTGAGCACCCCTGTATAAAGTGTACAGAAAACCTAACAGATTCGAAGGGCCCCAGGTGGGACCCCCCAGTTACCACAAGTGTGGTGACTCAGCTGGTTCCTTCTGAAGTGCACCCTTTAAGAAAGGTGAGGGTGGGTCAAATTAATTCTGCAGGACAGATTTTATTGACTGCTGTGTGTTCCTCACTTCTGTCAACATTAGAGATGCTTTGGACTACAGTCAGCATACCTTATTATCTCGTTATTACAGACTGCCTCTAAGTTCTAGATTTAACTTGCTGCCCCACCTGCTGATATTTTCAGAGATGCAACAAAGTTGTGTTAAAAACCTTCCCAAGAGTAACTTGAGTTATTACTCCTTCTGCAGATCTCTGTAAAGTCATTACGCTGTCTTCTGTCTCTTTAATTTGTATTAGTATTCAGTATCTTGCAGTAAAAAAAGTGTACTGAAAAGTCATTTACTTTAACGAATCATAAGGGTACATGATGCCATTAGAACTAGTAAAAACATGATTACTGTAAAACAAATACCTTTTCATAATGCAGACTAATCCCAAGGGCAATTATCAGATACTTGTAAGATATCTGTTGTGTAAGGGGAAAAAAAAAAAAAGTATTTTAGCCAAAACCTCAAAGCAAATTTAAGTTATCTGACAGCAACAGTGTCATAAGGGAAGGAAAAAGAGCAAGCATTAGTAACATAAAAGTTAAGCTCTAAGAATAATTTATCGTTAAAATGCTGAGATACACACAGCCTTTGCTATACACAAAGCCAAGTGTTGGGTACAAAAAATTCTATCTTTTGTGTTCAGATCACTGTAAACAGGGAAAAGACAATAATGATATTTTAAGTTGATGTTATTCTAACTTAGTTATCTACAACAATTTTTATTAGAAACATATTTTAGGATCAGGTACTTCTCTTAAGACTAAGTGGAATTGCCTGGCCTCCTAGATGCTGGAGAAAGGTCCTGCTCGATAGGCAGTTCCAAGGGGATCTGCAGGAGGTGGGCAGACAACTCAGGACGTAGAATAAGAGATTAAGAACAATTTTTTTTATTTTTTTTTTTAACATTATTACCTTGGTATCATTCTCCAGCCAGACACAGTTTTTATCTGGATCCAGTGCTGTAACTCGAGATTTGATCCACTCAACACCTTTAGGCATGACACTTTCTGTTGGACGGGCAGAAGTCGCCAGCTGCTTTGCACCACCACCAACCAGGGTCCACAGCGGCTGGTAGTAATGAGTCTGAAAGAAATGTTCAAATGGACATTTAAGAACTGTTTTAAAGGGACTTTAAGATGAAGGCACATCACTCCAAATAGAAAGCAACGTGGTCTTAACACTGTATTATTCTTAACGAAAGAAGCTGTATAAATAACCAAGAGTTTTGCATGACAAAGCTGGAGGGGCGCATGCATCTCTATCATGGAGCAACAAATTTCATGCAAAGCCTTCTAAAAGACGGCTAGTGGGCTTCCTCTCCACAGATAAAAACACATGGGGTTGGAGAGGGATGAGACGCAGACCATTCTAGTCACATATGCAAAACACTTATTCTTTTCGATGCTTTACAGCCGAGAAAGACTTACCTGACTTGGCTCAACAACAGCCACATTTCCTGCCCCCACTTTCCTCTTCATCCGAGCACTCATGGTGATTCCACCAGTGCCTCCACCCAACACAAGTACTTCGTAATAATCCTTGGCAGCACACCTGGCTGCTGTATGGAAGCCAAAGGAGCTCATCTTCTGCATTCCTGTTTTCAGCAGCCATACTCCAGAACAGAGACGGGAACAGGAGGACACTACTCCAGCTGCTGACATCTTTCAGTCAGTGGGAAGCTACAAGATAAGGCAAGGCACCAGTAATTGTTACAGAAGGTAGAATTTGTATTTACTTATATGCTTGGATGAGTCTTCCAGGCAAAAATTAGACCTTTGTTGCATCTAAACCACTAATTTGCTAGTGGACTCTAAACAGTTTGTGGAAGAAAAAAGAAAAAAACAAGTCAATCGTGGCCTCTGCCATGAAACTGAAATTTCACACAAGCAAATGAATTCTAACAAAACACAAGAACGTTTTCTTGTTATCGTGCCAAGAAAGCATATCTGATACTACAGCACAGGTGACACATGTGCCGTAACTCCAGCTGCAATATTACAATCCTGAAGAGGAGTGCCACAAAAAGGAACAAAAATTTGCTAGGTGTTGTAGTTCAGTGAAATACTGCAGAAGGTAGTTGTGTGAACACACTGAGTGCCATTCCACTCGCTGTAATGTGTCAGCCAAACACGCCATTACATTTGTATTTTAATGTTAGGATGTACCAGCATATGCACACATCAGACACAGACCTCCTTGCTGCCTCTTAGGCGTGCAAGCCCTTAGAGTAAGCACACCATATTCTGCAGCACTTTGAACAAGGGCACATGTATTCATCTTCTCTTGCAGGAGAAGTAGCAAGCCCTAAGCTTGACAGGAAAACAAAGTTCAGTGAAACAAGAGCTCACATCTTCCCAGATCTGGGATGTCTGAGTATACCCAAAATACTTAGTTCTCTATCCATGGTCACCTCTTAGCTTTTACATCAACAAATTAGCTAGAAACAAAGGTCAGAAACTCATACTTACCCTTGCTACAGCTGCACCCTGTCACCTCACAAGCAAGAACCAGAACCTTAAAGCATGATATCTTGAGAACTGTAGCACTGGATATGCAATTGCGTTATCCAGAACAGTCAAGGTTAACCACATTTCAATCCCTCTGTTACAGCAGGCAAGAGCTGTTCTTGTTCTAAATCCATTGTTGGCACATGCCGAATATCAGTTTTTAGGTTTTCAGTGATAAAACAGGTATAACCACCTTTTAATTCAGTTCCTTATTGCCACATTGCCAATAAAGAATGAGTAAGCATTACAACCTGTGAAAACCAACATGTGACAAGACTTTCCTGTGTTCTATATCTGCTCCCCTTTGTTTAATTCCTTGAGTCATCAGGCAGGAATTCCAGTTTTTCAGTTTAGAAGGGTAGAACTCATTTATGGTAGTTACAGACAGGAGTTTGAAAAATAAACTAGAAACCTCAAATATTTTAAAGTTTTCCAAGGTGAGCTTCAAAAATTCTCCACTAGACTAGATGTAGTTGAGCAATTCATTCTGCACCTTCGTGTGCTATTTTAACATCCCTCACGTCCACGTACCCCAAATTCTTTATGAAGTCCCATTATTAAACCCTACGGTACAATTAATTTAGGACCAAGAGGGAAAGTCTCAGAGGTGTTCACTGTAAAAACAGTTTTAACCATTTTGTTTTAACAGGAAGTTTCCAAGATGCAAACATCTTCCCCTCCCCATTCAAAATTAAAAAAACAGCTCTAGAATAAATTAGTTTCACTTTAGAAGGCTGTTTATCATCTATCTAGTACACACAGTTATTTAAAGATGTGGACAGACTGCCCAAGCAAGGAGAGGAAGCTGTTCTAGCCCTAGAAATAGATGTTACCTGATGGAGAGATGTCCTGCTTTCTTCGAGGCAGATTGTGAAGAGTAAGTTTTGCAACTTCCGTTTGTGAGCCCGTTTCAGGAGGGACACCCTGTTTCCGGAAGCTCACAAACGCAGGGTTTTGCTTCGGCTTTCGTTAAACACACAGAACAGGCACAGCGGCCTGCTGGCTGACAACACACAGCACGTCCACACCAAGAGACAGAGACTTCATTTTTGTAGAGCTAACTAAAGGCGTAATTATCCTCTCTGACCAAACAGATTTTGAAGTAAGCATGTTTGTAAGAATACACAAGACCAACCTTAACTAAACAGCAGTCTAATTGATGAGAATGCAGTGTCAGGTTGCTTCTAAATTGTTTCAGAGTATACAGAAACAATCAATCTGAAGTGCCATTTACAGACAGCTGTTTTAAAAAGAGCAGCAAAATCCTTCCTAGTAAACTCCCAAGTTAGACAGCAGTTGTACAACTGAGTCAGTCAACAACACATCAACCCTCTACTTCGGACACTGGAGATAAAGGAACAGGGGAATTACAAGACAAAAATGAAGGTAAAGGGGAAAATTTGTAGTGAGCCCACTGAACTGAGCTGAAATTTCAAGCTTTTACAAGACTGTTTTAAACACACAGCACATTTATCCACCAACCTTTAAACTTTGCACCACAAAACGTGATGGTTGGTATTAGCCTTAGACAGCATGAAATCACATTCCTACTGAAGATCCACATACAAGCCTCAGAGCACCGCCGAGAAAGGTAAAGCCTCCAATACATTCTCTGCCTTAGCCTGAGAGACAGTTCTGCTGTTTCAAACCAGTTCTCTCACCAGGAGAGGCAAGTCTGTTCTACAAATGCTTTCAGAACAGTGGTTTGTTACAGCGTCGGCAGCTTGTGTAACCTACTGCAGCACAACTCACCTAGCACCACATAAAAATCAGGGTGATGTGACTCACAATAAATCCACAAAAATGTCATTTCTACCAGGAGAATTAACATTTCAAAGCATTTTAGCTTCCTTTTTTTTTTTCCCCCCCAAACACACTCACCTTGAAGGTAGACAGTGACCGTCTCACCTCCATTCATATATCTCTTTTCCCTTTTACTCTAAGGCTATCTTTTTGGCATGCTTTTTAAAATAGTCTAATACTGAAAAAAATGCACTTAAAAAATTACAGCTAAAACTGGTCAGGAGAGTTCAGCATTATTTAGTGCTTGAATGCCATTAAGCGGGTTAAGGTAGTACAAACATAAAAAGAGTGACTTTTCAGGGTTTTTTTTTAAAAAATAGAAAACACTGTTTTCCAGAGGTAGTGGTTTATAGCCATTTAAGAGCCAAAGAAAACAAACCATAAGGATCTATCTTCATTAAGCTGTTCTTAAAAAACAAATTAATGGCCTTCCTACAAGCATGAGGGAGGAAATGGTTACCAACTTTTTTTTAAACTTTTTTTTGAAGAACCACCTTGCTGAAAATAGGTTTATTATTTTTGTGTATTTTAACCAATTCCAAACTCTATACAAGGAAACAGCAGATTCAACGGGTGTTCCTCAGTGGAACCCAAACCACAGCAGCTAAAATCCACCTAACTGCATTCACTATCCTTCTTCCTATAACCCACTATCCAGCCTAAAAACGAGCTCGAAGTGTAAAAGTTATCTTTGGCTACAGTTCTCCACGTATTAAGGCCACAAGTAAATCAAATTTACCTCTGTGCACTAAAGACATGAAGAAGTCAGAAACACAGCGCTGGCAAGTCACAAGTGGTTCGTTCCAAGCACTAAGCCACAACCTGCTCTCGCAGGTCTGATCTGACACGGGAGGCAGCTCATCACGATTCATTTTGCTGTGTTACCTACGCGGAGGAGGTGTCCCAGCGCAGGTACATCCTCAGACCCCACGGGCCGTTCTCCTGTCGGGTCTGTACATACACACGCGGTAAATAAGCCTCGAGAGACACAACTAGTGTGTAGAACAACGTTTAACTGAAGCAGGACACCGAGGACAACTACAGTCCCTCCCGCTCCGGGGTCTCTCTCCAGGCTGGCTGCTCCAACGGAGCCAGTGCGTGAGCAACGCACTGCAGAGAGCTGGAAGACACCAAGTTAGGGAAAGCCTCTACTAGCGAGAGTAAAGTTCGTTGCAACTGTTCTCTAAACAGCTGGCCACAGATTAACAGTTTAAACGCTCCACCCGTGCACAAACACCCGGCAGCGCCAGCACGGCAGGCACCAGCTTCGCGCCCGCCCTCAGGATCAGGTGCCGCCAGCGAAGCCGTTACCGGCCCCGCAG